TCTGACCAGGTTCTTTAAAACATTTCAACTTTCTTGCCATAAAAATTTAAGAGACTTAATAAAGAATATGGTAAAAATAAACCGAAAAAGAAAGTAAATGAAAATGGATATATTACAGGGTGTTTTTTGTTTGGTTTTGATTTTGTCGAGTCCACAGTATAGTAGGGTCAGTTGGGCACCGTCTGTTAAAAAAAAAAAAAAAAAAAGAACACCATGACGCAAATCACTCTGTCAGAAATTTGGAAACGTCATTCTGTACTACTTGGGTTTCAAACCAGGAGCCCCATTGCGAACATTTCAGAGTGTTTGGATGTCAATCTGAGGACAATGCAGAGGATTTGGAAAGAGTTGGATGAGTCTAATGGTGACTGCGAAGAAACAGCAGTTCGATAAACTCGCTCTGATCGTTCTGATAAGAAAAGAACTCCTGAATTTTTTAGTGATGGCCTCAGACTCAACGCGGAGGCCTACAACGAGTACGTTGAAGAGGCAGTGCTGCACTGGGTCAAGAGGGTGGCTGTTGGATGAGCCTATGTCTGGCAACAGGAATCTGCCCAATGCCACACAAACATTAGACAATTTCTGCGACCACATCACTACTTCCATCTCGCCACCTAACACCCCAGACTGCAATACTCTTGATTATTGTGTGTGGGGCGCATTTGAGCGAGAGACCAACAAAACTCCTCGCGACACTATAAACTCCATCCGCGTCCAGGGTAAGCCTATAAACTACGTCTGCGTCCTGGGTAAGACGATAAAGTATATTCAACAGCAAGGCGTCTGATCGTTAGGTTTTCAGGAGCGTTGAACGACCTCTTAATTGCTGGTCGATCCTGGCCCTGGGTGGTAGCACTTCTTAGTGTACCAGCTATAGGCAAATAGTTAATTCCCAAACTGGGGGCAGAACACTATGAAAATGTAAAAATAGGTTTTAATACCAGCAATACAAAAAAAAATTACCAGCAATGAATTTTTGAAAAAAAAAATTGTAATACATTTTTAAAAAAAATATTACGAGCAATACAAATTTAGAAAAAAAAATAAAACCAGCAATATATTTTTAAAAATAATATTCCCAGCAATAAAAATGTTGTCGCCTTTAAATAACCGATTGGGGTTGATATGCCATAAAACAAAATAAAGCAAATAAAAGCAATCAAATGTAGAACACATGAACAATAATTTTGCACATGACACGCCACTGACGCACACAGTACCTACATAAAGTGCGCATGTCCGTGTCTAACACAATAGAATAGTCGTTTTTCATCGTTATATTTCCTGATCAATCTTTCTAACATTGGTAGGCGAAAATCGATTTTTTCAACTCTGCTCGATCGCCTACTTTAAAGATATGGGTTACCCTAATTCCAGATCTTCTTAGGCAATTTATTATGTACCAAATTACCTTTGAATTCAATTTCTTTCTTCTTAAGTTCTGCAACGTCTGTTTCTGAGGCTTGGGCGAATTTATTGGTTGGTTCGTTGGTTTTGTGTAGCGGCATATCAACCTCTATGGGTACTTTATTTTCGTTTGTTCTTTTTGCTTTGTTGTTGTTTTGTTTATTTTTATTTTATTTTATTTTTTTATTTTATTTGCAACATATCAACTTCAATAGCTTATTTAATGTCGACAAGATTTTTATTGCTGGTAATATTTTTTTTAAATGTATTGCTGATAATTTTTTTTTTTCCTAAAATGTATTGCTGATAATATTTTTTTTTCCAAAAATGTATTGCTGGTAATATTAATTTACTTAAAAAATCTATTGCTGGTATTAAAACCTATTTTTAAATATTCATAGTGTTTTGACCCCAGTTTGGGGTTAACTATTTTCCCATAGTTGGGTACTTAACCAAGTCAGGCTGGAACTAGGAACACCAGCAATTAAGAAGAGGTTCCACGCTCCTCAGAGACTCCTGATCAGAGACCTTGCTGTCGGATGTACTGTACCGTCTTACCGAAGACGCTGATGTAGTTTATCCTCTTATCCAGGACGCAGATGTAGTTTAATATCTTACCCAGGACGCGGATGTAGTTTATCGTCTTACCCAGGACGCGGATGTAGTTTATCGTCTTACCCAGGACGGATGGCTACTTTAATATCGAAATGTAAATATTGTGAACGCAATTTTATGTCTTCATCTATATATATTTTCTGCATAATTTTATAATTTAAGGGAAACGAGTATTTTTAGATATATAATTTGTATATGATAAATAGTATTGTTGGTAATTTAAAAAATATATTGGTAGTAATTTTACAATAAAATATATCTTTATGTATTGTTTTGTATTCTTTAATGCCGACAAGAGGCTCGGTGGAGTAAGGGATAACGGCTCGATTGAGGAATCGGAGAGCCGTGTTCGAATTCCAGTCGAATCCATTACATTCACTTACGTGCTAATACCCTAGGGAAAGGTATGAATCCTCTTCTTCTTCTTCCACCCAGCAATGGATGAATAGCAGGACAGACCGGGCAGCTCGGATTGAGGAATCGGAGAGCCGAGTTCGAATTCCAGTCGAATCCATTACATTCACTGACGTGCTAATACCCTTGGGAAAGGTATGAATCCTCTTCTTCTTCTCCCACCCAGCAATGGATGAATAGCAGGACAGACCGGGCAGCTCGGATTGAGGAATCGGAGAGCCGAGTTCGAATTCCAGTCGAATCCATTACATTTACTTACGTGCTAATACCCTTGGGAAAGGTATGAATCCTCTTCTTCTTCTTCCACCCAGCAATGGATGAATAGCAGGACAGACCGGGCAGCTCGGATTGAGGAATCGGAGAGCCGAGTTCGAATTCAGTCGAATCCATTACATTCACTGACGTGCTAATACCCTTGGGAAAGGTATGAATCCTCTTCTTCTTCTCCCACCCAGCAATGGATGAATAGCAGGACAGACCGGGCAGCTCGGATTGAGGAATCGGAGAGCCGAGTTCGAATTCCAGTCGAATCCATTACATTTACTTACGTGCTAATACCCTTGGGAAAGGTATGAATCCTCTTATTCTTCTCCCACCCAGCAATGGATGAATAGCAGGACAGACCGGGCAGCTCGGATTGAGGAATCGGAGAGCCGAGTTCGAATTCCAGTCGAATCCATTACATTCACTTACGTGCTAATACCCTTGGGAAAGGTATGAATCCTCTTCTTCTTCTCCCACCCAGCAATGGATAAATAGCAGGACAGACCGGGCAGCTCGGATTGAGGAATCGAAGAGACGAGTTCAAATTCCAGTCGAATCCATTACATTCACTTACGTGCTAATACCCTTGGGAAAGGTATGAATCCTTTTCTTCTTCTCCCACCCAGCAATGGATGAATAGCAGGACAGACCGGCCAGCTCGGATTGAGGAATCGAAGAGACGAGTTCGAATTCCAGTCGAATCCATTACATTCACTTACGTGCTAATACCCTTGGGAAAGGTATGAATCCTTCTTCTTCTCCCACCCAGCGATGGATGAATAGCAGGACAGACCGGGCAGCTCGGATTGAGGAATCGGAGAGCCGAGCTCGAATTCCAGTCGAATCCATTACATTCACTTACGTGCTAATACCCTTGGGAAAGGTATGAATCCTCTTCTTCTTCCACCCAGCAATGGATGAATAGCAGGACAGACCGGGCAGATCGTATTGAGGAATCGGAGAGCCGAGCTCGAATTCCAGTCAAATCCATTACATTCACTTATGAGATAATACCCTTGGGTAAGGTATTAATCCTCTTCTCCTCCCCATCCATTTATGAGTAAATTGCAATACAGATCGGGTTCTATTGCTTTAGATGGCAACTTGTCTGCCGCAGAAACAAATGACAACCTACTGCTTGAAAAATTCTGCCGCATCAGTCATGTATCAAAAGATACATGATCGCCTAAGCGTGTATCACGCATGGCACATAACTGACTAATTGTTTATCATTTTCCTTTAAAATATATAGCCGGTCCTAAAATATATAGTTGAAAATTTTACTATAAAATGTATTTTAGGTCATTTTGCTATAAAAGTTATTGCTGGTCATTTTACTTGAAAAATGTATCGTTGGTAATTTTATTATAAAAATGTTTTGCTGGTAAGTTTACTAAAAAAATGGTTTGTTGGAAATAGTTGCTTTTTTATAAAACTGTATTGATAATAATTTCACTACAAAAATTTATTGTTAGTAAATTTTTCATAAAAAATGTATTAATTCCTGGGTATGACGATAAACTACACCCGGAAGCAAGGCATCTGATCAAGAGATTGGATGTTTCAGGAGCATATAACCTCCTCTTCATTGCTATTGTTCCCAGGTCCTCCCTGATCAGGGTTGATAGCATCTCTTATGTTCCTGCTTTGGGCAAATAGTGAACCTTCTAAAAAAACACTATGAAAATATAAAAAATTTATTTTTATATAAAAATATATCAACAATACACATTTATATATATATATATATATATATATATATATATATATATATATATAAATTACCAACAATACATTTTATAGGAAAATCACCAACAAATATGCCTTGTTGCCGGATGCAGATTATCATCATACCCAGGACTATTGACGGATTAAGATAAATTTAATAAGACGTGTACGATCAAGACGTGAGTGATCATGACACTCCACAAGTTCCTGTTCTTTGTAGCTCTTAAGTTTTGTCTATTCACCATCATCCCAGACGTTGTTCTGCCATCTGTTTGCAAGAGCTCATTATATAGTTTACTGGCTGATTTCCTCTATCAAGCACAAGTTGCCAAATGCTTACAAGATTTAACAAAATCTCTATAAAAACCAGGGAAAAATTATAAAAGCAAAACTTATCGAAAAAGTAGCAGAAAAATTACCGTAAACTGCGCTGTACAAGTTGACATGTTGTACTAGTCGACCTGGAGTACAAGTCGACCTGAAGATTTTTGGCTCAAATTTCTGAGTTCGGCCAATATCTGTCAAATAGGTCAATCCACCAAGCAAGCGTCATCGGACCGTCATAAAACATCATGTTTCTGCAGTGTCTGCAGTGTAACTCGCGCCGGAGAGTCGTGCAGACGAGATTTGTCATATGGAAATATGTCGAACTTTCAGATTTTCGCTCGGCTCGCGTACCACGGCTAAACGTAACACGCGCGTCCGACAGCCGCGACGACGGACGTAACGACGGCCACACACTCGCTAAGGACAGCCGCCCGTACGAGGACCAGCAACTCGCACCGGAGAGTCGTCCAGACGAGATTTGTCAGACGGAAACATGTCGAACTTTCAGATTTTTCGGCTCGCGTACCATTAACACACGCGTCCGACATCCCGACGACGGACGTAACGACGGCCACCACACTCGCTAAGGACAGCCGCCCGTACGAGGACCAGCAACTCGCACCGGAGAGTCGTCCAGACGAGATTTGTCAGACGGAAACATGTCGAACTTTCAGATTTTCGCTCGGCTCGCGTACCACGGCTAAACGTAACACGCGCGTCCGACAGCCGCGACGACGGACGTAACGACGGCCACACACTCGCTAAGGACGAGGACCAGCAACTCGCACCGGAGATGTTTGCAGACGGAAACATGTCGCAGATTTCGCCGGCTCGCGTACCAGCTAAACACACGCGTCCGACACCGCGACGACGGACGTAACGACGGCCACACACTCGCCAGGACAGCCGCCCGTACGAGATTTCGTCCAGACGAGATTTGTCAGACGGAAACATGTCGAACTTTCAGATTTTCGCTCGGCTCGCGTATAAACGTAACACACGCGTCCGACAGCCGCGACGACGGACGTAACGACGGCCACACACTCGCTAAGGACAGCCGCCCGTACGAGGACCAGCAACTCGCACCGGAGAGTCGTCAGAAAAGATTTTCAGACGGAAACATGTCGAACTTTCAATTTTCGCTCGGCTCGCGTACCATAACACACGCGTCCGACAGCCGCGACGACGGACGTAACGAAAACTCGCTATCGACAGCCGCCCGTACGAGGACCAGCAACTCGCACCGGAGAGTCGTCCAGACGAGATTGTCAGACGGAAACATGTCGAACTTTCAGATTTTCGCTCGGCTCGCGTACCACGGCTAAACGTAACACGCGCGTCCGACAGCCGCGACGACGGACGTAACGAAAATTAAGGACAGCCGCCCGTACGAGGACCAGCAACTCGCACCGGAGAGTCGTTGAATTTGTCAGACGGAAACGTCGAACTTTGCTTTAAACGTAACACGCGCGTCCGACAGCCGCGACGACGGACGTAACGAGTCTAAGGACAGCCGCCCGTACGAGGACCAGCAACTCGCACCGGAAGTCGTCCAGACGAGATTTGTCAACGGAAACATGTCGAACTTTCTGATTTTCGCTCGGCTCGCGTACCACGGCTAAACGTAAACACGCGCGTCCGACAGCCGCGACGACGGACGTAACGACGGTCAGGACAGGTACGAGGACCAGCAACTCGCACCGGAGAGTCGTCCAGACGAGATTTGTCGACGGAAACATGTCGAACTTTCAGATTTTCGCTCGGCTCGCGTACCACGGCTAAACGTAACACGCGCGTCCGACAGCCGCGACGACGGACGTAACGACGGCCACACACTCTGACAGCTGCCCTACGAGGACCAGCAACTCGCACCGGAGAGTCGTCCAGACGAGATTTGTCAGACGGAAACATGTCGAACTTTCAGATTTTCGCTCGGCTCGCGTACCATAAACGTGGAAAGCCGCCCGTACGAGGACCAGCAACTGTCGAGATTTGTCAGACGGAAACATGTCGAACTTTCAGATTTTCGCTCGGCTCGCGTACCACGGCTAAACGTAACACGCGTCCGACAGCCGCGACGACGGACGTAACGACGGCCGTCCGACAGCCGCCCGTACGAGGACCAGCAACTCGCACCGGAGAGTCGTCCAGACGAGATTTGTCAGACGGGCCACACTCCGACGAAACATGTCGAACTTTCTGATTTTCGCTCGGCTCGCGTACCACGGCTAAAGTAACACGCGCGTCCGACAGCCGCGACGACGGACGTAACGACGGCCACACACTCGCTAAGGACAGCCGCCCGTACGAGGACCAGCAACTCGCACCGGAGAGTCGTCCAGACGAGATTTGTCAGACGGAAACATGTCGAACTTTCAGATTTTCGCTCGGCTCGCGTACCACGGCTAAACGTAACACACGCGTCCGACAGCCGCGACGACGGACGTAACGACGGCCACACACTCGCTAAGGACAGCCGCCCGTACGAGGACCAGCAACTCGCACCGGAGAGTCGTCCAGACGGACCAGACGGAAACATGTCGAACTTTCAGATTTTCGCTCGGCTCGCGTACCACGGCTAAACGTAACACACGCGTCCGACAGCCGCGACGACGGACGTAACGACGGCCACACTCGCTAAGGACAGCCGCCCGTACGAGGACCGTCGGAGAGTCGTCCAGACGAGATTTGTCAGACGGAAACATGTCGAACTTTCAGATTTTCGCTCGGCTCGCGTACCACGGCTAAAAACACGCGCGTCCGACAGCCGCGACGACGGACGTCGGAACTCGCTTACGAGGACCAGCAACTCGCAGAGAGTCGTTGTCAGACGGCATGTCGAACTTTCAGATTTTCGCTCGGCTCGCGTACCACGGCTAAACGGTAACACGCGCGTCCGACAGCCGCGACGACGGACGTAACGACGGCCACTCGCTAAGGACAGCCGCCCGTACGAGGACAAGCACCGGAGAGTCGTCCAGACGAAGAGGACCGAACTTTCTGATTTTCGCTCGGCTCGCGTACCACGGCTAAACGTCCGAACACGCGCGTCCGACAGCTGGAGACGGTGACGCATTCGTCGAGGACCAGCAATGGCACCGGAGATCGTCCAGACGAGATTTGTCAGACGGAAACGTGTCGAACTTTCAGATTTTCGCTCGTTTACCACCAACGCGCGTCCGACAGCCCGAACGGATTAACTCCGACATAAAATCGCACCGGAGAGTACCAGACGAGACTCAGACGGAAACATCGAACTTTCAGATCAGGTACCATTTTCCGACAGCCGCGACGACGGAATAGTCGCACCAGAGTCGTCCGAGATTTGTCAGACGGAAACATGTACTTTTGCGTACACGCGTCCGACAGCCGCGATGACGGACGTAACGACGGCCACACACTCGCTAAGGACAGCCGCCGTACGAGGACCAGCAACTCGCACCGGAGAGTCGTCAGACATTGTCAGACGGAAAAACTTTCAGAGCTCGGCTCGCGTACCACGGCTAAACGTAACACGCGCGTCGGACGTAACGACCATTTGCAACTCGCACCGGAGAGTCGTCCGACGAGATTTTCAGACGGAAACATGTCGAAAATTTTCGCTCGGCTCGCGTACCACGGCTAAACGTAACACACGCGTCCGACAGCCGCGACGACGGACGTAACGACGGCCACACACTCGCTAAGGACATCCGCACGAGGACCAGCAACTCGCACCGGAGAGTCGTCCAGACGATCAGACGTACCACGGCTTAACACGCGCGTCCGACAGCCGCGAACGGGGACGTAACAAATCGCTAAGGACAGCCGTCCGTAAGAGGACCAGTAACTCGCGCTGGAGCGTTGAAATTTGGTCGGTGGAAACACAATATTACAATGGAGACACATCATCAGGCATTTTTTAGCAGTAAAAGTCGGTTAAAACCATTGTAAAAACACCATCACTCATCCGCCATTTGTCAACGATTAAGTAATTAACCAGTGAGAATGATATGTTACTCAAATCAGGCAACGTTTTAAATACAAGAACCAAATGAATTTAAAATGTAACCATTGAGTCTCATGCTTTTGTCGGCATTAGCATCATGGGTACTGTAACGTTAATAAAATAATGAATTTATGCATCATGGCCCGGCGTTGATCAAAAATCGTACAACTCATACAGCAATCGCTATCACTTGACTTAAAATATTTTTGCCCTTCCTTGCCTTTTTTAAAGAAGTGCCCTTTGCCGTGCTGATGTTGCTACATGCCTTACTTCTTGCCTATCTCACACTGCGAATTTTTTCTAAGCTCTATACAAAACATTAAATCTGTTACAAAAAAAAGAACTAAACAAAATGAACACAAAACGATCAGCTTTAAAAAAAGGACTCGTAACTGGAAAAACCGAATGAAAAAAAGAATGTTAACAACAAATACTTTTTCCCACCCAACCCAGTTCTGCGGAATCAGAATCAACGTTGAGTTTAAGCAAGTGAATGAGCCAATTGGAGTAAAGTGCCATGCAGATTTAAATTTTTCCCACTTGCGACGAATGCAGCTATCGATTTTTTTTTGCATGCTAGCATTCTAGTTGATATTCGTGTCAGTCAGCTGTTGGTTCTTACGCTGGTCAATATAATCTTCATGCCTATTCGTGGCAGCCAGATATAGGCACTCTGACCCGTACAAAATGGCCGCAAACTACATGAAAACTGCCGTAGAAGCATGAAAAAACGATTATTTCCACTATCGATGGGAGTTGGGAAATGCAAAGTCGGTCTTGGCCTTCCCGCTAACTTGGAGCATGTGCATGTAAATTTTGGTGGAAATCCGTCGAAAATTGCGGCCGTGCATTTATTACACACACACACACACATACACATACACACACACACACACATACACACACACACACACACACACACACACATCCTGCCTTTTAATAGATAGAGATTTTATTATTTTATATTCACTTCTGTGTTAATATGCCAAATATGTTCACAAATCACAAGTTTTAGTCGGATATATTTCTGTCACTCATCTGGAGGTACGGTAAGTCGTCTACAGTAATTGTTAGGACTGCTTTCCCAATTGTTTACATCACAACTCGCTGATAAAAGTTTGCAATTTATACCCGCCATATAAGTCGATCTCTAGTTTTGGAAATAATGTTTTAGGCTAGAAAACTCGATTTATACGTCGCGATCTACGGTAAGTAAAAAGAAACAAAAGACACGCAAATTCAAAAGAAAATTAAAACCCAATAAAAAAGAAAGAAATACAAAAAGAAAAAACCATGCAAAAAAAAAAGAAACAAAAATATAAAAAAGAAACAACCATAGAAACAAAAAGAAACAAACGTACAAACAAAAAAGAAACAAGCGTACAAACAAAAAGAAAACAAACGTACAAAAAAAGAAACAACCATGCAAACAAAAAGAAACAAACGTACAAACAAAAAGAAACAAGCTGCCAAAAAAGAAACAAATGTACACAGGCGAAAGTAAAAAACATTGAAACGCCGTAGACACATGTGTCAGTAGAATCGAGCATGGCCGATCATGTATGGAGAGAAATTGTTGGTCATCGAGCCCTGCGGAATGAAGCAAAAATAGTGGACAACGAAGAATACTAGAGAGTTAGACGTCTGAAATACCAGCCAATGATAACCTCCTGAGTAGGCCTAGCATAAAAATAAATACGTGTCTAATCATGACAGCCAATAGCAGCATATTCAGCAGGGGCAGCCTAATCAGCAGTGAAGATTAGGTTTAAGCGTATTTATTTATTTCAGTAAATTGTCCTAGTGGGACAAAGCGTTGGTTTGTGAATTTGGTGACATAGGGGTTGTGAGTTCAATCTCAGGGCATTGTATACTTGCATTCAGTGGGCGATCAATAACTGAAGTGTGTTAAATAAAAATAAAACCTAGACGATATCAGGCATAAACCCTGGCAGGAGAACACTCTAACCCAGGAGCTTAAATAGACCGTTCAAAACGATATTTCCTGAGGAAGGGTACACCGGTCGAAACGTTGTGATAGAAATAACAAAGACAAAGGTAATAGTTTGAAAATAAATAATAACAGGGAAATAATAATAATAAATTATATAAGAAATAATAAAAGAAATAATAATATAAGGACATAATATAAGAAAGAATAATAGCGAAATAATAAGAAAAATAATAAGAAATAATAATATAAGAAAATGATATAACAAACAATAATAATAGAGAAAATAAAAAATATAAAAAAATAATATAAGAAAAAAAAAAATAGAGGAATAATTTAAATAAATAAGAAAACTAATATAAGACATAATATAAGAAAGAATAATAATAGAGAAAAATAATAAGAAATAATATAAAAAATAATAATAAAGAAATAATAATAAATACTATAAGAAATAATAATAAATAATGCAAGAAATAATAATATAAGAAAATAATACAAAAAAGAATGATAATAAAGAAATAATAAAAATAAATAATATCAGAAAGTATAATGACAGAGAAATGATAATAGAGAAATATTAACTCCTCATTAAAGAAATTCAGACAAAACTTAGACGGAAAAAGGAACCAAAATTAATAAGAAATAAAGAAAATGACACAGAAACGAAAACAGAATCAAGGAAATGAATTTACGAAGAAATAATTCAAATAAACATCGTTAGACAGAGACGAAGTTCGAAAATTAAAATAAAGAAGATACGAGTTTACGAGGCAAGATGAAGCAAAGTTATGATGAAATAAGAAACAAATTAACAAAATCATATTTAGAATGTCTCTAAGAAATACAGATTACAATCTAAAAGAAATACATATTTAAATAGATGACAATGAAACACTTCTGTCAATTGAAAATCATATAATACTTGTACTTGTCTCTTTCTTGTCTGATAAAGGACTATTCCGTTTTGATCGTGTGGAAAAAGGGTGAAAAGACATCACTTGGTTTCGGTAAAAAAAACAAAAACAAAACAAAAACAAAAAAAAAAAAAAAACAAAGAAAGAAAAAAGATAAAAAAACTGTTTTACGTCTCCTGCCAATATCTCATAAATAACGACTATTCCGAAAGAAGTGTTCAACGTCTCCTGCCAATATCTCGTAAATAATAGACTATTTTAATCACGTGCAAGAAAGGGGAAAAGACACTACTTGGTTTCAGAGAAAATCAATTAAATAAATGAATAAATAAATAAATAAAGAAAGAAAGAAAGGATTAAAGAAGAGAAGATAGAAGTGGTTAACGGTTTTTTCAGTGACATGGAAAAAAGTTAATTTCAATTTTTTTTCATTTGTACCCTCTTACTTCTTAAAATAACGACCAGCATTCTTTATAATTGTTTTTGCAATATTTTTTTAAAGATCTTAAGCTCAAATATTTAACGATACGATAGAAGAAATTCTACAGATATTTTCTTGTTATAGAACTCGACATCCGCTTATTTATTCATTAACTTAAGAATTAAAATGATAATAAGAAAACTACAACATTTTCACAGGCCTTTCTAGTAAAAGATAAACATATTTAAAGCTTTAAATATAACTTGCCATAATTTGTCCCATTTGTCTTTTATTTTGCGCGAACCTTAAAGCCTCCTGTGCCTTATGTGGACCATACATACTCGTCTGCGATGTGTGAATGACTGCCCAAATCCTTTACAGAGATGTTGTTTATAGATTGTTTATATCTGTCCAACGGTTTTTTTGCACGTGCGCACATATTAGGCGCAACCAGACGCAGGGTTGTTCATCTCTTGCATCATCACTTAGAATGGGTTATTCGCCGATCTCCATTTCCCGCTGTACATAATCTCAGGACAGCTCTACGGCTTGATTCCTTGAGCGGTTGGTGTGAAAATGAGTGCAAATCCTATTCTCGCTTAATAATGCAAACTTGATTAAATGTTCTCTAGCAATGTTGCAGGCAAAATGAAAACAAGAGATTTAAATGTCTCAAGGCATTTAATACCATCATCATTTATTTTCAGGACGTGGGCGATTACGGGCCTCCATAATTTCCTGCCAGTTTTCGCTCTAATCAACGTTTGTATGTTTACCATCCCTCCTTGTTCCTGCTGTTTCATTCATCCCCATAAACTCATCAGGTAAATTGCACGATCTTTTCTCTCCTTCATTTCTTCAATGCGCCCTGTGAATGTTAAATTTTACAAGGCGCCCTTCCTTATGATGGGTCTGAGACAGATATGACATAGCAATTCAGCAACTGGTCCTATTTTTTGAAACCCCCATTTTTGAAAGATTGGAAATAAGTCTACAACATCGCTGAACTAAAGTTGAAGGTTTCTTTCTAGTAATTTTTGAGCGACATGTATAAGTGACAGAACAAAAGTATTCAAGAAAAATTACTTTTTGAAGAAAAAAAAGATAAAATAAAATAAATACAAAAAAAAAAACTGTTGCTACTTTCAATGAAGAGAAGTCATCATTTTTTTTTTCCGGAGTTGCTTATTAATTTATTTTTTATTTTGTTTCGTTTTTCTTATCGATTATTTTCTCATCTACTTGCAACGAGAACGCAGATATCCTGTCATCTTCGGGTGTCACTTCATCAACCACGATAGAACGAACTTTTCTTGAAATAATAATATTAATAATAATGAATGGGAGAATGTCAAATAATAATAATAATAATAACTGTATATTTTAATAACTAAAGAAATAAAAGAAATAGGCGGGGAACGTTAAACAAAGAAATGAAATGACCTTAGCTTACAGAAAAAGAAAAACGAAAATTAGGGAAAGAAATGAAAGAAAGACCACACCTTCGCGCCAACAAAGGATGTGAGGAAAAAAAAATGAAAAAAAAAAGGCGTCACCTTCGCATTAAAAAAGGAAGTGAGGGACACTTCAACATTGATTAAAGCCTTGAATACTTTGCCTGAAAAGCGGTAAGAGACGAAACGGGCGATAATTGGATGGTTCAGAGATCTTATAAACAAGGACTACAGAGGAGGTCTTCCAAAAAGCTGGAAGGCAGAAAGCAGCTAAACAATAGTTGTAGAATTTGGAGAGAACTTGGGGCCAGCTTTGGGGCACATTTCTTTAGGATGACGGCTAATATCCGATCACCTCCACTTGCCTTATGGGAGTCTAATTTTGAAATGATTTTCGAGACCAGTGATGGGGTTTTGCGCATACAACTCAGAATAGCCTAGGGAGAAATCAGTTCTGGGTACTCTAAATGTGTTGAGTTGAATTTCCGAGCAAAGCATTCCCCTTATCTGCTGTAGATGTTGATTGAATAGCGGAGGGATTGAGGATTTGCCTTTGTTCATCAAACATTTGCAGAGCTGCCAATAATCTCTTGAACCGAAGTTGCCAGATGCTGTACGTTGTTTCATTCTATCAGCAAACAGTAACTTCGCATCTTTGAGGACACACTTGCACGTTACGAGCATAGAGAAAGAGAACTTTGTTGGAATCAGACGTGTTTCAGTGATACAGCCCGAAGAATTGACTCCTGAGGGCGATAGGGGTAGCGCATGCAAGTGAGGACCAAGGAGACGAACGCGGTTTAGCTTGGTATTTACCTGCTGGAATGAAAGCATCGATGCCGGTTTTCACCCAGGAGGAGACCGCAGATGTGCATTTTTGAACAGGATGATTAAAAACTTCTCTCCATGAGACGTCACGAAGTAAATCAAAGAAACGAATCCCAATCTGTTCGTTGATAACCAAAGGATATTCTTTTGATAGGGATGGTAGAGGAGCGGAAGGCGGTGTTTTTAGACACTACCGCATGATCAGAGTTGCCAAGAGGGCAGAGCTTCGTAGTACAACAAGAGTCAGGGATAGAGGTAAAAAAGAGATCGAGAAGAGGAGCGTGTCCGTTAGGGTTACGGATGAAACGCGTAGGGAAGTCAATCACTTGCGTAAGAGAATGTGCATAGAGAAGTCTAGATGTCAGCGAAGTCTGTGACAGACTGTTTAAACCAGCTGGTAAGGCGGCCATTAAAGTCACCAAGCACGAGTTTATTTTGCAAATGTGTGTAGGGAGATAGCATTGTCTATATTATCGGCAATACTATCTAGCATACAAGAGCTCTGAGAGGAAGGGGCACGGTAATGAAAGAAGAGATAGCTGACTTAAGTAGAGAGAGTAGAGGACACATGTAAGAATGGTCTGGAGATTCAAGAGAAAGTTCGCTAGCCAGAACGAGATATTCGCGGACATAAACACCCAGACCATGCATGAAGACGTGAGTTTCCTTTCTAAGGCGAGGAAGGTAACCAGGAATCGAAAAAACAGAGAAGGGAATTGAAGAATTAAGGCTAGTTTCGCAGAGAGCTAAGATGTGCAGAGCCTTTCGAAGAGGAAGGATTTCTATCCTGCAGAACTTGGTACGAATACCACGAAGGTTGGTGAGAGAAATGTTAAGGGTTTAGGTGTTTTTTTTTTTCTTGGACTGGAATAGATGTGTATCATTGCTTCTTTATAGTCATGGTGTATATATTGGTAAAGGAAAAGCCTAGGGTAGCAGTAGCGGTCAGTCATCTAACGTAACATGTGCAGGAAGGGAATTGCGGCTGTGTGGCCTCGGGGTTGCACATGGGACTGCAAGAACCCCGATATTATTCAACTGTTGATCAGAGCAGCCTCTCAAGACGCCACGCAAGAGTACGAGCTCTAAACGATCAATCGGGAACAGCAACCAGGAAACTGCCAATTCGGTATGTTCAGTATAATGAGACATTGCCACCATTCACGCATATCACAAAAATGTTGTGACAGCATCACTATTAGGGGCTGTGAAAAGGAAAAAAACGGGAACCACTTCTTAAACAGGATGAGCTTCTACTCCTGTTCAAGAGAACAGGGGAGGAGTATGGGCTGGATGAGGGGGGCGTCTATCTACCCCTATTAAAAAAAAAAAGAAAAACTGAAAATAATCCCAACATTGTCTTGCAGGTAAAGTATTACAAATAATGAGATTTCTTTCAGATAACTTATTTGGAGAGTCAAGCTGAGAGGAAGACCTCATTTTCGCGTTAAAAAAGTAAGTGGGTGGAAAGAAATGAAAGAAAGACGTCACGTTCGAGTCAAAAAGGTAGTGGAGGAAAGAAATGAAAGACATCACATTCACATCAAAAAAGGAAATGGAAGAAAGACATGAAGCAAAGACGTCATGTTCGCATCAAAGAAGGAAAAAAAAATGAAAGAAAGACTTTCTTTCGCGTCAAAAAAGGAAGTGAGGCAAGAAATAAACGAAAGACGCCACAATCACGTCAAAAAAAGAAGTCAGGGAAAGAAGTGAAAGAAAGATGTCAACTTCACCTTACAAAAGGAAGTGGGGAAATGAGAGAACTCACCTTCGTGTCAACAAAGGACATGAGGGAAAGAAATGAAAGAAAATACCACACTTTCACGTCAGAAAAATAACTGAGGAAAGGAAATGAAAGAAAGACGTCAACTTCACCTCAAAAAAGGAAGTGGGGAAATGAGAGAATTCACCTTCGTGTCAACAAAGGACATGAGGGAAAGAAATGAAAGAAAAGACCTCACTTTCACGTCAGAAAAATAATAGAGGAAAGGAACTGAAAGAAAGACGTCAACTTCACCTCAAAAAAGGAAATGTGGAAATGAGAGAACTCACCTTCGTGTCAACGAAGGTCATGAGGGAAAGAAATGAAAGGACAGACCTCACTTTCACGTCAGAAAAATAACTGAGGAAAGGAACTGAAAGAAAGACGTCAACTTCACCTCAAAAAAGGAAGCGCGGAAATGAGAGAACTCACCTTCGTTTCAACAAAGGACATGAGGGAAAGAAATGAAAGAAAATACCTCACTTTCACGTCAGAAAAATAACTGAGAAATTAAAAGAAAGACGTCAACTTCACCTTCAAGGAAGTAAAGGGATAACAAGGAAAGACCTCATTTTTGCGTCAAAAAAGGAAATGAAGGAAAGAAAGAAATCAGAGGACACCTTGTGCAACCTTTAGAAGAATATAATTATATTTATATGAAGAAATTTAAATATATATATATATACGATTTCCTGTGACAAAGCAGAACTTTAAGACAAGAATGGAAAATTGATATTTAGAGACGAAAAGTAACATTATGGAAAGTAAAGAATGAAAAAAAAAGGTATTTAGCGTTAGAGCTTGAAATAAAATCACAAAAAACAACTGATTTTAAACGACGACACAGAACGTTGTTGACAGGAAGAATAGATTGGAATGAAATGAATTTGATTGGGTTAAATAAATAAATGAAGGAAAGAAAAAGAAATGATTTTGAGTGGAAAGACAGTAGTATAGATAAAGAAATAAAAGAAACAAAATGGCCAGAATTAAAGTGACGTTAGGAAAAAAAGAAAGGAAATAAGTATGAAAGTTTATAGAAAAAACTGAAAAGAAAAACAACGATTCTGTGCAACACAATATATGTCTTACATATATGATTTCCTCGCTGTAAGATCCACTTGACGTAGAGTTTTACAGTATACGAGACATCACCCAAAGAAATAAAGTAATGCCACCAAGACTCATAAGGCCACCTGAAGTGAACAGAAGGTTTTAGAAGAATGTTAGTAAAAGACATGAAGAAAGACATAGAGAATCTGAACGATAAAAAAAAGAATCCGAAGAAACCACTTGACCGACATAAAAAGTAACGTAAGGAAAAGAAATGAAAAAAAAAAGCAAAATGGACGACAAAAATGAATGCTGGCGAAAGAAATAAACGAAAGAAAACGAGACAACTTGAGCGAAAGAAATGCAGTTTATAGAAAAAAAAAAACGACAAAGCAAACAAGCTAAGTGACAACTTGGATGAAGTGAAATAGACGAATTCAATTACAAAAACAAAATCGATATTGAATTTAATATATAAGCACCTAGCGAGAGTTCACCACAGATAAAACGATATGCCGAAAAGATATAGCCGTGGCTCATTTGATAAAACTGTGTTTTCCAAACAGTAATTAAAAAAAAAAAAAACAACAATGGTAATATTAGCCGTTTACCTACAAGAAAACATTGGCCATTCATTAACCTAGCAGTCAGTATTACTTTCATTGAAATTTATAAAATCCTTCTCTGAACCCTTTGAGGTCTGACCATCGCTTTACCTTTGGTAGAGAAAAATGACGTAATGTCCAGCCACCGGTTGAACAATGGTAGAGAAACATGATTTATTAGATTGGTGCAAAAATAATGACGTAATAATGTCGTTTTTTGACGTATTTTTTAACGTCAAAAAACGACATTATTACGTCATTATTTTTGCACCAACCTAATAATTCCCAGCTACCGGTTGAACGGTGGGTAAACACTTGTAACAATTTTTTATATATTCGGTGAAGCATTACATAGAAATTATTTGCGAATTTGAACTCAGGAGCTCAGACAGAAGGGTTAAAATTGTTGAGGAACACAGGGCTCAATGGGTTAAAAAAAAAAAATTAAAAAAAAAGGTTTCTCAGTTTATCCTTTTTTCCAGTATTGATGGAGGTTTCTTTCCTAACCTTTTGTTCGAAGTAGTGTGGAACGTCAACATCTTTATTATATAATAATTTTTTCTTCGAGTTGTATTTGATATCCATTTTAGTTGTTGCAGCTATTCGTAGATCGACGGTGATGTGGGTTTAAGGTTCTTTGTTGGTGAATATGTAGCGCCAGTCTGCAGTGTTCAAAGAATGCTGACGCCTAGATCCTCAAGTTTTCCCTTGCTCAAAGCCTTTTACATCATTATTCTTAAAAAGCGCTTACCATTAGTGTATTAGAGTTATGTCCTTACACAGTTTACGAGCCAGTGGAACATAACAAATCGACAGCCATTTTGAATTATAACCATCAAATGAAAGGCGATTCAAGTAACAATACTAAGTCTTTACAAATTTTAATATTTTCTTCTTTTTTTACATCTTTGATGTCCTCCTGTACAAGGCCCAGAAGTCACTCGAGTAGAGGATCACCGACTTATGTGGATATTTAGGGAAGATAAAAGTTAACTCTAAAGTTGGACAGATTAAAATTGTAATGAGCGGGGAAGCATACCCTTGATAGTTTATTCGACAAAGCAGCGGCTCGTGGAAAGAAACTGCACGAGTAGAACTTACTTCTCGCCAATAGAATACAAAAGAAATGAGCATCGTTTGATACAATATGCGTGTGATGGCGGTTCATTTAAAGCCTAAAACCAGAGTTGATAGAGACTGTGGCAGGGAATTAGATAGCTTGGCGTTGATTATAAATGTCGATGAGAATTAGTCTAGTAGTGCCGAGAGTAATAGAGTATAGTAAAGATTATGCTGGAAGAAGAGGCAAAATAAATGTAGCTAAGACAGAACTGACTTCTCTGCTTAAAAAGATAATTCAAGCGCTAGTACGTATAAGAAATATATTAAAAAAATATTGACGTGTTAACGAATACAATCGTAGAATTGCACGCGAAATTTGGGAGTTCATATTTCTTTCACTCTTTTGTCAAATTAAGAATACCACATCACCGTCACCGGTTGGATGAAACTTGACGGAAACGAGGACATATATATAAAGTAGTCGGTGCCAACTTCGAGAAAATGTTCACCAATTAACCTAGCATAAGCTTTCCTCAGTTTAACATCTCTGGAACTGACTTTGCCACGACATGTCACACGGTGCGATCACCGAGGATCCAAATACCAGAAAGTGAAATTCAGAAAGACTTAAAGAAGACCTTTAGAGACATGACTTCAGGGATCAATATCATTCCTTTCGAATTATACTTGAGGGCTGTCGGACATGTTTGTCGGTTTGCCGACAACCAGTTTCAACAAATGGATGTTGAAAATGTGTATTTCCTAAGACATCAACACGGATATATCACACACTAAAAGGCCCAAGAGCAACATAAGGTAGATGGTTACAGCGTGGTTTGTTTATAAGGCAAGAAGTGCTGTTTGTGAGGTTCTGTAGAAAATATAACGGTTAGCCATTGTCTTGAAGAACTTTTGTAGCGTTCGGTAAAAAAAATCGTGAAGCCTATTCCACAATATTTGTCTCATTGGACGTAGTCTGGCGTGTCTCAAGTTTCAAAGTTCGGGAATGGTGGAACCAAGAAATATACCTCGTCAGAAAACAATCCATCGAAATATCGAAAGCGTAGCGCAAGGCTGGCGACGTTTCATCTGTGGTTTACATTGAATTCTCTCAGTTGCAGACGAGAATATTTTTACTCATTAGATTGCTTCCTTGATATAACAAGGATTTTCAGATTGACTGCAGGGACAGTGACATTTGATG